AGCTTTATGTATGCTAAGACGTCAAAACATTTGTAAACAAATACTCGCAATTACATAGGAAACAAACTATCTGAGTTTATATTATAAAGCCATGATTTCTAATAGATAACATGAAAAATATTATAGTAATAATCATGATGGTATACCAGAATCTAGAAACACATCGTTAAAGACTCCAGCAGGCCAATTATGCTCGCTAATTGTGATATTGTTTTGATGTCTATTTCACATTACGTATTATGCTCTCCGAAAAATGCGATATCAAAATGACATCAACTTATGCTATGATGATGATCAACTCTATAAAATGATATCAACTTAAATGCGTATTACGTTCAACTTTTTGACTTAAAATAGTATCGCATAAACGTCAGAAATGTGATACAGGATATGATATTGATATGATATTGATATGATCTTGATGTGACATAGGAATGTTTCATAATACCATATAAAAACAATGTCAACTTGGCATCAACATCATATTGACATCACATTAGAATTTTATTACTGAAGCATAATTGAGCCACAGAAAAGTTGTGGTTTAAATTGCCTAGAGAACCACCTACACATGAACACATATCTAAAACTTGCTAAATCCTATAACGTTATCGACTGAAAGTCATTACTTTTTGCAAAGATCACTTCGTTGTCAGTACTCATTGAATAATATTTAAAGTTTAAAAATACAATTTTTAGGGTTATTATTGTACATAAATCAAAGAGTTATGTCATTTTTGCTTTCACATATCCGGCGTCCAGCATTAATTTAGTCAACAAAACCAATAAACGGAAACTTTTTACAAGATATAAGAGCTTTTAGATATACATATTTTTGTCCAACGAAAGAAACCACAGTAACAAGACAATGACGTTTAGTTGTTTACAAATTTTGTGACGTCACAATCATGGTGGACAGCGTTTTAAGTGTTTAAAAAGTATGGACTAAAAAACAAATGTTCAAATTAAATTACTCCAGCTATCTTCTAATTTTATGCAGTGAAATCGATATATTTAGGTATCTCATACCAAAAATTATAAGATATATACTTTTGTATGGTTTTTCAGTAAGTAACAGAAAATATGCTTCTTATTATGTTATTTTTCAAATTTGTACAAATTAAATGAAAATACGTAGATTCTGGGACTGAAGTTAGTAGGTTTGCAGAAAAGGCCTAAAATACGTAGATCTACGTAAAAAGACGTAGAGTTGGCAACACTGCTCTGTTGTGATGGAAAAAAATATATTTCTATATAATATGAGCGTACCTTAACCATGAAGCTATAGTAATAACTGGAGGCCAAACTCAGTACCTACTATTAGTTGAAGCCAAGTAGGTATGACCGCAATTGACCTTTCGTTGGACTTCTGGGTGGCTATCTTATAAACGTAAATTTGCCCGAGACCATAGGCATATTCGCTGCTTTATTTTAAGGGCACTAAGATGACTTGTTCTGAAAAGTATCGGTGGATTTGCAATTGTCTTTTTAGTTACACACTCTAACCCCCTTATTAATAAACGAAGACTACGCTTTGATTAGTTAGTTCATGATTTGCCTCTATCTTTTGAATGACAAATGGCACTCGAGTGACATGAACAAAACACGCCGTAACTAGTCTAAGCTTATTCCTTGTTTCTTAATAAGGGGGTAAATGTAAAAAAAAGTTAACGAATAGGCCGGCAGGCCCCATCAGGTCAGTTACTGATATTAGCTATTTTAGACATTCAATTATAATATTAGTTAGCAAATCTCTGTTTAGCAAACTTTTTGACAACACTAATAATATGAACTCTCTGACGTTAACATTATTAGACTTGAAAGTTTATCTATGAATTAGTTTGTACATTAAAACTACTCTGAAATCGAATCCAAGATGAACGATTTATAATATTATGCAACCATAATATTTAATTAAACCTTTACTAAAAAATTGTACGCAAATATAATATGCAGTTACATTAAATAGAAATTCGTGACCTTTGTTGACTCATTTCAATCTAATTATTCAATATTATCGTTGTGGAAATCCATGGGGGAGGCCTATGTCCAACAGTGGACGTCTTTCGGCTGAAATGATGATGATGATGATTCAATATTCCCGAGTTATTTTAAAATCTGGTGAATTATTACTAAAACTATTTATTTGTAAAATTATATTCCAGTATAACAATTGCCTTGATTAAATCATCGGATTTTTTTTCTTAATTTCCCTATTATTGTGGTAGCCGGCATTTTCAAACAATGGTAACACAGCATGTGTCAATATGGTGGATGTCAATATCTAATTTTGTCGACTCGAAAGTTGTGATTCATATTAGGACTTTTCTCGCTATCAAAACGTGAAAAATGGTTCAAAAATGTGTGTCGCTAAAGCGACCAACTTCATGGTGTTAATTTTTTGTGTTACATGATGCGCGCGCATCTTAAAATTTCACTCTCAACAATTTTTCAGAACGCGCCTAAAGAAGTATAACTTCAAAAATCTTTTTAACACTTATTTTAACATAAAACCCATTATTTTTCTATCATTTACTTTCCAAATTCCTATTATTCAAAGGTTTCGGTACTAATATTTCAGAATTTTACTAACTAAACAACAATTGGCATTGTGAAATAAACACTAAAAGGGTGACCATGAAACGCAGATAAAGTGGTTTTCGTAATACGAAAACCCTTAAAATAGGACAGAATTATTTTATTAGTACGAGCACATTGTAAAACACTTATGTTATTATATTTTATTCATGTTACGTATTTATTGTTGCCTTCATTGCTATTAACAATAAAACACAAACTTACTATTTTTATTCTATTTTTAGTTTTCCTAAGGAACCAACAAGGAGAAGCCAATGGCTATCAAGTATAAAGTGTATGAAAGTGCAAAAATATGCAGTAATAATTTCTGTGGCTACTGGTTATATATAATGGAGAATTGATTAAAACATACAGCTATTCCTTTTTATTCTGATGTGGTAAGTAAAAATCTATGTATATACTTCAGCCATCTTATGGAAAGAACTTTTATAAGCAAACCCATATTTAACTTAAAAAATAAGTTTTTTATTACATGTTTTAGAAATATTTGTACTTCATTAATAGTTTACTTATATTGTTCAAGTGTGATATATGGCACTAGAAGTCTCTATTTGTAGAATAATTACGAAGTGTTAAATTTTTTGTTTACATACATTCTTGCCTAGCTAAGATGGCTGGAGTACCTATAGATTAGAGTTATACATCCGGGCAAACATACATGCATGAAATAAATTTATGATGATGACGTTTATTACTTTATGAGGGAAACGCCAAAAACGTCATAAAACTGTACTTTTTAGTATAAATGTAAATATTAAAATGATTGTGTATTTATAACCGTTGTTTTATTTCTATCTACAAAATATAAATTACACCTGAGAATGTAAGAAAAGCAATGTGATGAGTAAATCCGTGGAGTGACGTGACATAGGTGTAAAATATTTGCTGAGAGCTTATAACAATAAAATTTGGTAGGATTGTAGGTGAGGAGAAATTGTGTTTTATTCTGCATCACACCGCCTGGCAAATACTATACTAAAATTAATTGATGAATGTGAAATACTGTACCTATATTATTTTCATTTTAAAGTCGGTTCATTTAAAATATTGGTCTGTAAGTATTAAATTTCCGTTTTGTATGAAGAATTTTGTGCAAACCCGAATTTCCATACTACTAAGTTTTTGATTAATTTGAAATTGGCTTGTATTATTTGTTTTTAAATAACATTGGGTTAAATAAATACATTTACATTCTAATGTAACACAATCTTTCCTAAGCAAATAAAATGAAAAAAAAATATCAGTTAAGTAAACAATAGCAAAATTAATGTAAATCTATAATTAACAATGGCCATTTTACTTTGATACATGATTCCGTAATTAATATCTTCGCCAATGTGTAAATTTTTGATAAATCAACACAGATATTAATACGTTTTTTACTAGTTTAAAAAAGCTTGTCTCCTTTCCTTAGTGGTTGTGTGGATACCCTATTTAGAAAGAGAGGAGGGGGACCTACGGAGCGAGATAGAATGCAATTATATTTGCTTCAAGTAGGTATGGAGGAGTTTGGCCTCCAGTATTATCTATAACTTCATGACCTTAACTTCCTTTTTTTGTTTTAATCTAAGTATATATATATAAGGTTACTCTATGCAATAATCTATGATGGTGCCTCCAAACGTTTGGCAAACAGCGATCACAAACAGCCAACAACAGCTTGTGGAGCCAGCATCACAGAAGATATTTCCGAATATTTCTACAATATTTGTTTCTTAGGTTTTCACGCACATCACTCATTAATTAAAACAAGTTTCATTGGCTTAGATGCACTGATTTCTACAATGCTTCTTCGCCAAAGTATGTACCCGCCGCCGTATGGTTATGCCTTTACACTTTCTTATCTTCAGCTTTTGTAGACATTTGAAGGGAAGTCTGCTTTCAACGCAATGAAGAACTTTACGATGTATGTAAGCTGTACAGATCAACTCGAGCTCGAGAATTTTTTAATGAAAAAATATGTAAGGAGTTTTTGACATCGCTATTCAACGAATGCGTGCCGTTAGCATATTATTTTAAATATTATCTGATTCCATAAGGGTATTGCGGAATATAAGTGGTTTGATTTTATGTTACAACTCCTTCCTCAGTAGGAAGGACTGATTACGTTACTTCGGTCAAGTTAACGTAAGAATTATCAGAAAGCGTGGTAAGATGCTGTCTGTTAATTCTTAGTGTGTTCCAATGCAAAAAAATAAAAATAAGTCAAAATGTGGCTGTTTGGACTTTATATCCTTTGCCTTGTTGTATGAAAGAATATAAAAAAATCACTTGTGCATGTGCCATTGTCAACTGTAGAAAAGTCAATCGCAAGAGAGCTTTAGATTAGGATTTGGATTTTAAATACGTTTCCATTTAATTAGCTAAATACAAATAAGTCTCGATAATATTAATAACTAAATATGACTGAGTCAACAGAGGTAATGCTGATGACTTATAGTGCATATTTTTCTAGTTAAATTTCACCGTACGTGGACACGTCACTGCTAGTGATTGAATTACTCGATCTCTTGCCGGGTTTTTTAATTTACTTCTAAGCTTTCCAATGTTTTTGTATGAGATTGGTATTTACATCACATCAGCCAACTTAATTTGTTATATAAATACATAATCGTTGGTTCGTGATAAACGAAATAGCTGGCTATCGTCATCAAATATTGTTCATCCCTTAGGTCCTTTATATATTTAATCCGAAACCACTGTCCATCACACCACATCCACATAGATTTACCAACACCGACCCAATATTTTGTTATTCAGTAGATACCTAGTTATTTAATTCATTGAGCATTTTGTAATGAATCTTTTGTTGTTCTTTTTTAGGTAGTAAAAATCAACAAATGGGACGGAGCAGCAGCAAAAAATGCCATTGATGATGCCATTAGAGAGGTACATTACTTTATTGTACAGTGCTGATTTGTTAAAGTAGAACCTTTTTCCAAAATATTTATTATATATATTTTTTTAGAAAATTACTAATTTGTTTCAATATAATCAGGTTTCAAATGAATTTCTAGTTTGTGGATTTGTGCAGACCATGTAATTATTTGTTTAGGAATTAATTAACATTTTAAGATGTCAAGTGTATACCATCATCTGTTCTCCATTCTTTCCCATTGACCAAATAAGTTGTAATTTAACAGGTTTTCACTGGTGACCTTAAGTGCAAGGAGAGTTTTGCTCTGATTGATGGAAGACTTTTCCTCTGTGCATTAGCAGTTGGTGTGGCTCTATATGCCCTTCTCTGGGACTACTTATACCCATTCCCACAATCAAGGTTTGTATCTGTACAAATTAAATACAAATTCATTTTTTTTAAAGCCATCAGATATAAATACACAAATATATGTCCAGTAACTCAATTTACAAATCACTTAATCAACATTTAAGAAAAGCTGTCATATAGAAAATAATGGTTTGAATGAATGGCATTAGCTATTATTATTATATAGATTTGCCGGAAGGGCATCTATCTATTATTTGCATATTTTTTTTAATCTTAGGTAAGAAACAAGAAGAAATATAAGGACATAAGACATAGATTTAATATGATAGTAATAAAATGTATTTATTTTCAGACTGGTTCTCATTATTTGTGTGTCTTCATATTTTATCCTCATGGGCATACTCACTCTGTATACCACATTCAAAGAAAAAGGAATATTTGTAGTCGCCAAAGAAAAGGTTGGCAACAACAACAGAGTCTGGGAGGCTAGTTCATATGTCAAAAAGTAAGTTATATTTTTATTATTCAGACATTTATTCACATCCTTTGCTATTGAATATTGCATTGTGATAACTTTAATAAGTTATTACAATGCAATAAACAATATTTTTGATCTTTGTTACACATAAAGAATGTAGGTAATTAATTTATAATTGTGCTGGTAATAACATATTTCTATTTAAATGTAACTACTTTCTAAAACTCGGAGAAGTTGTTTTCCCCCGTTCTTCTTGTCAGCTAAATGATGTTTTGAACAGGCTGTAGGAAAAAAGGAATAGGAATGGGGGAGGGGATCAGGTCAGGGTAGGTAACAGTGCATGTGATAGCTTTGGTATCGCAATTATCTGTAAGCTATGGCGGCCGCTCCCATCAGTTGGGCCAGAGGCTTGTTTGCTTTTTAAAAACTTAAAATAAATAAATAAATATTTCTAACCTCACCAATTTGCCTAGCCCCCAAGTAAGCACTGTAAGGCTTGTGTTATGGGATGCTAGGGTAAACTGTTAAGATAGAATACATATATAAGTTTATTTATATAGAAATATATATAAACATCCATGACTAAGGTACAAGTGCTTGTATTCATCATACTAACGTTTGCCTTCACCGGTATCTCTCCAGGAGGCGACACCATGGAACCTGGCGTATATACCACTTGGCCACAGGGGTTGTCGATTATGTTATTAATCTATGTGATGTAATAATGTTAAACTGAGGAACTTGATGGCGCAGGTGGCTAGGTCGGTCGGCTGCGATCTTTGAAATGAAAGCAACCGGGTGGGTGACCAAAAATCTTCTATCTCGAGTTCCTCCGCGCTTCGGAAGGCACGTTAAGCCGTTGGTCCCAGCCACATCTGCAGTCGTTAGCACCGGCCAATCCGCACTGGGCCCACGAGGTGGGTCATGGCCCAATCTCCCTATTCCATCCATAGGGAAGGCCTGTGCCCCAGCAGGGGGGACATTAGTAGGCTGATGAATGTTAAACTGTGGTTTTGTTGTGACCGCGCAGGCACGACGACAAGTACAGCCTGGTAGTGGTGATGCGTGAGGCGGGGGGGGCGGGGGGGGCGGGGCGGTGCCGCGAGGCTTCTGTCAACAAGTCGTTCGCGACCTACATCGATGTCAACGGCGCCGTCGTGCAGAGCGTCGTCCTCGCCGAGATCACTAAACTCTACAATTCCCTCTCATCCGAGAAGAAGGAGAAGTGAACCTGTTTCCGTGTCTGTTGCACAATTTCATTGTAAGCTCTGATATAGAAATATTGAATCGTAATAAATATTCTTCGAAACATATCTAGTTGTTTGTTATTACATTGAAACTAGCAAACCAGTGAAACAAATGTTCACCAAAACCTGATTTAAAAAAAAAATGTATTTAATTAATTGAGAACTTCGGAGATTTTGTGTGGTTTTGTTTGAAATTCGTGATTTCTCGAAAACCGGAAGTGCTACGTTACTCAAATCCGGTTTGTAGTCTTATCAGACTATTCTTAACTTATAACTTAAATATTCTCTTTATCTATCTCTTACGGTTTGGCCGCTGAAACAGCACCACAGACGGACGGACGGACTTGTCTAATAGATAAGAGATGCTATCTAAAGACTTCCCTGGGCTCACAATTACGATTGCAATAAGAAATGTCGTTTAATTTTAAATTTGTTTAAAAGTTTAGGCTGTCGATTTCTTTGCAATAGCGATAGACAGAAAAGTTCGCTTCCATCGTCCAGCTCCTGGAATAACAATACTGCAAAGAGACATCTAAGTAAATGAAGTCTGGGGCCACGATTCTGTAATAGTTTGCGGTATAGTTGTAAACCTTTTGGTTACAGTAATCATGACCATGAGTTTACTGTAAGGCTATACGCGCCCTGGTGACTTTTGTATAAGACCAGTGATTCCCAAAGTGGTCTATATCGACCCCTAGGGGTCTATGACAACCTGCAAGGGGTCTACGTCAGCGAAAAAAAATCAATATCAGGTAAGTAGGGGGTGTACCCAACACAGAAAAACATGGCAAGGGGTCTACGACACAAAAAAGTTTGGGGAACTCTGTATAAGACGGTGCGCGCACTTGTATACGCGACTCGTGGGTAACTTTTTGTCCGCGGAGGCCGGCGACAAGCCCGTGACGCAACTGTCACCGTGACCAGAGGTTTGAATTGCCGTGCGCACACTAGCAACTAAAAATCAGCTTGCTCCCTGCTTCTCACGTTTCTACACCTCAGTTAGCTTTCGAACTTCATCGTGTTTACGTCTCGTTTATATTACAAAATAACGGCGTCAACGTCAACTCCGGTGCAAAATGCATGTTTGCATGAAGATGATATAGATAATGATCTTAGTTTAAAAGGAAAAGGGAAGATACGGCACTCGCGGCTCAAAAGTGATCCGCTTAAATTGTGGTGCATGACTAGGGCTGCCATCTCTTAAATGTGGCAACCAGGATAAGATGCGTAATGACCCCCGATTTTGAAGCCCAGAACCCGGACAGACCAATAAAAAAACAGTTAAAAGGTCACAAATCAACTTTTTTATGTTTATCTAGGCAAAAGAGCTAGCGGTCTACCTCATAATAAGTGGTCACTGTTGCCCATGGACACTTGCAGCACCAAGGGCCACTCATGCGTTGCCGTTGCCTGAATTTTTAAACCCGGACTACAAATAAAACCCCGCCCGGACGCTCCCCGGACGCCCCGTAAACTAGGACAAATCCGGGGAAACCCGGACGGATGGCAGCCCTATGCATGACCATAATTCTCTTTAGTCGCAATTGGACATTAAAACACGCTGCATGTGCACTCATTATAACAATATTACGTATATTCTGTGTTATGAAGATAAAACAATGCTTTTATAAAGAACACAAAAAGTTCAAAATCAAATAACAAATGCCTCGGCAACACTTTTCATTCGTAAAACTGTAAAAATATTATTTTCTCAATAAATCACGGTTTGTCGTGTATGTTATTTACATAGTCGCCATTTTGTTATCAAGAAAAGGACAACAATACGCTGCGTTGAAGCGTATAGTTCTGTCTCGCTCGCTCAATTGGATGTTTATATACAGACGTGTACGTGTGTGAGAGTTGCTTATGTAGTTGCGTCGGATCATATTTTATTTGATGCTAGTATGAGCCGTATGAGCGTACCGTATCTACCCTTTTGTTTTAATCTAAGATAATGATATATTAATTGACCAAATAGAAATAAGGCTATTAATCTATGACAAATCCTTAAAGGATTACATTAATTTGAAAACCAGAGCATGGGAGGAAGTGTGCTGTAAAGTATTTTTTAATACAGTTGCTCAAAAAGGGACGTGTAGCGTTCGGGATCTGGGCTATTTCACACTCGTGCTTTTTTTTTGCCTTTCCCGAACTCGTGCGTTTTCTTTCCCAACTGTCAAAATTATTTCTATTAAAAAAAACAACCATAAAGTTTTAACTAAAAAAAGGTAAATTTAAAAAATCAAAAAACCCGACTGCTTAATTATACTTCAAATAAAAACTGAAAAGAAAAAAACAAGTCCAGTAGTCTATAATTCTGTTAATAAGGAACAAAGCTACTTTAACAGTCGGGACCCATTAGATATTCAAGAATACATAATATTTTTCAACAGTGGGTCCCGACTGTTAAAGTAGCTTTGTTCCTTATTAACAGAATTATAGACTACTGGACTTGTTTTTTTCTTTTCAGTTTTTATTTGAAGTATAATTAAGCAGTCGGGTTTTTTGATTTTTTAAATTTACCTTTTTTATTTCACACTTTTTAGTTAGTTAGTATTTTAAGACGGTATATACCGTAGTCTTGTTACTTCAGTAAGGGAATTAATATCGCGGGAATTATTAAGTACCTTAAGACAGTCTAAAAATGAATCTAATGATACCGCATACATATTTTTTTAAAGGGAAATTTAGAAAAAATATTATTATGTCTTTATCCCGTGGGACTTTTAGGATAAAATGTATCCTATGACACTCCCGTAATCAAGACAAATCTAACGATACCTCATACATCAAAATCCATCAAGCCGTTTAGGCTACAGGAGGTCACAAAGGAACAGACATACATACATACTTACATACACTCCCTAAACATTACCCTCCCTCTTTGGCAGTCGGGTAAAAATAAAAAATATAATATAATTCTTGTTTTAGTTAGCACAGAATATATCTTTTAATTGAACGAATTTGGCTTAAATATAGCTTTATTTTGTTTGTTTTTTTGAGGAGCTCGATGGCGCAAGTGGTTAGCGCGTTCGGCTGCGATCGTTGAACTTGAGCAACTTTCGCAGTGGTCGGTCATTGGATGGGTGACCGAAAATTACTATTTCGAGCTCCTCCGTGCTTCGGAAGGCTCGTTAAGCCGTTGGTCCCGGTTGCATCTGCAGTCGTTAGCATCCGCCAATCCGCACTGGGCCCGCGTGGGTCATGGCCCAATCTCCCTATTCCATCCATAGGGAAGGCCTGTGCTCCAGCAGTGGTGACATTGATAGGCTGATGATGATGATGATAGCTTTATTTAAAAAATGGGTGCGTGTACTTATGTAGGCGCGTGAGAAGTTATCCTTCTTTGGCATCGTTTAAAATTAGTTTTTAATTGCATACAAATAATTAATTACAATAAATTAATAAAAAGTCTGGAAAACGACGAAGTCAATAAAGTTCAGTTTTAATTTGAAAAAATAAATAAATAATCAAAATATTCAATTAAAATCGCTACTGAATATAATTTATTAGAACATATGTGATTTGCACTTGTATGAAACTCAAACACGTATTCCGAATATACAAACTAGAAACATGTGGATATAAATATTATAAATATGAATACCTATAACTGTTACTTTATTACAAAAAATAAAGATGTGGTTTTTGGTTCTACTACACCAATGGTCAAGAGATGGCGCTGTAGTTTCCTGAATCGCGCTTTGGTTCCGTTGTTCCAGATTAATAAATACTTTTTGTTGCTTTATTACAAAAAATAAAGATGTGGTTTTTGGTTCTACTACACCAATGGTCAAGAGATGGAGCTGTAGTCTCCTGAATCGCGCTTTGGTTCCGTTGTTCCAGATTAATAAATACTTTTGATAGGCCTTCACAATGCAGTCGTTAGCACCCACTAAATAGAGATTCTATTTCTATTTTGTTGGTAGATTTTCTTAATGTGCGGTAAACACAAAAGTAACGCATGAAGTTGGTCGCTAAAGCGACCAACTTCATTATGTTAGAATTTTGTGTTACAGTGATGCGCGCGCATCTTAAAATTTCACTCTCATCAATTTTTCATAACGCGCCTAAAGAAGTATAACTTCAAAAAAAAATCCAATAGCAAAAGCTAGTAATAATCTATACTTATAATAAATCTGTAGAGAGGACAATTCTGTACATGAAATATATTTTCAAAATAACTATCAGGGGGTGATTAGTGATCGATACTGATGCCAAAAATGCAATCAGTAAATTTTTTGTCTGTATGTATGTTCCTTATAGAAACAAAAACTACTCGACGGATTTTAACGAAACTTGGTACAATTATTCTTCATACTCCTGGGCAGGTTATAGTGTACTATTCATCACGCTAAAATCAATAGGAGCAGAGTAGTGAAGGGAAATGTTGGGAAAACGGGAGAAGTTACTCCATTTTTTAAGCTTCCGTCGCGTGTGCAGCCTTAATGGTTAAAGTTACATAGAAATCATGTATGACGGAAATATTCTACATAAAATTGTCTAAAAAATATCCCGCAACAGCATATGTCTATCTTTTATGGTTGACTCACAATAACACGTGTAATTATATAAATAAAGTCATTGTTTATAGCACAAGCCTGAGAACAAAAACTATAGTTTACACTACAGCTCTACACCGAAGCGAAGCGAGGGCGGGCCACTAGTTATGAATAAAATGCAACAGTTTGAGCTTTACCACGTCTATTGAAGTATCTCAAAGCTAGTTTTTATTTACCTGTAACGCCATCTACTGCCACGGTTTCGGAGTTGTATTTTCCAATCACTCACGTAAACCAATAAAGTTGGACTAGCTTTTTCAGTAACTTGGGGCTTGAGCTCGTTAATCCACTATGTTTGCGCTTGGAATCCAATCAAACGAGTTTCTGTCACAGTGAATAGGTAAATATTTTCTATTCATTCCTACCATTTGCCGCAATGCGTTCAACAGTGCATTCGAAATATAAATAAAATTGAGAAAA